TGGTGTCCGCAATTAAGAGATTGCAGATGGTTCGTTCATGGGCAAGGACTTCATCTCCGAATTCTCTTAAGCGCCATTGCAGTAACCTAGCGCAGAGTTGTAGGCTAGTATCATGGCGGTACTGGTCGTGCCCAATGGTAGCGCGGTGTTTGAGGATTTGAAGCGGTTTTTTCCACCGTGTATGAATTTCGAGTTGCGAATCGTGTAGTAAGAGCACCCATCAGTTTCTGTCGAAGGAACCTACACGTCCGCTTTATCTGAACAGCGGTTCGAAGACTGGACGCCAAATATTGCATATTGCTCAAAACATGAAATAATCGCTCCAAAAATGGAGAAATACGATAAATGGTCCATCGGTTGAGTGAGAGTGTCAAGTACAGTTTTATCTCCCATTCTTTGGTTTTCTACCAGCATGGTCTGGCTTTGTGCACCTTAAAAATGACTGAGGTGGAGTTCTACTTCGTATATTTCGGCAGTCCGCATTTTGCGCACCCACTAGTTACCGATATGCGGAATTTCAGCTGATGCAAAACTTCTGAAATTGAAGTCGGACTGTTGTAGGAGTGCCTGTTACTGCACACTCTTGTTCAATGACATAAAGCATTAAGCATGGAAAATTACTTGTTCTCCATCAGATATTTGCAGCCATCCAGTTCGTACTGAGCGATGAGTTCAGTAGTCTTCGTTCTGAGCAAAGGATGGGTGTGTTGCACGAGGGAACAGGACCACGAATCAACACTGCTCGTGTGGAAATTGTTTTCGACAATTCCGATAGGCGAATCCCAGCTGTATGTATTTTGATTATGTTATAGCAAAACATACTTTGTAATTGCATTTTTTATAGATAGAGGCAACGGAGGTGCGAGTAGTCCGTCAAGTTGGACAGAAGAAAGACCAGTACTATATTGATGGCAAAATGGTCCCTCGCGCCGAGGTAAGACGGGGTTCATACTGATCTCTGAGTTCCGGGACGGTGCCAGCACAGCGCATAATTTAACTTTGTGCTGAAACTGTTCTGGAACTTACGGATCAGTATGAATCCAGCTTCAAGTAATATGCTTCGGAAATTCCCCATTCTTCTATGACCATCAAATCATCAGATTACTGCGAATTTTATAGGAGTTCAAGCCTATTTGATGACTCACTTCGCATATAAAGATGAAATAGGAACCAGTCGGTTACGTGATCGTGGGCTACCCATTTTTATTTTAGGTAGTAAATCTGATGGAATCGGCTGGCTTTTCTCGATCCAATCCATATTACATTGTAAAACAAGGAAAGATCAACGAATTAGCTACTGCGCCAGACTCTCATAGGTAGAATAACTTCGATACGGAGTATGCATGATATTTTGTCCGTTACAGGCTGAAGCTTCTACGTGAGGTAGCTGGTACGCGAGTGTACGACGAAAGAAAAGAGGAAAGCTTGAAGATTCTCAAGGAAACCCGTACGTACCGTTAACATGTAGTCATGTGTCTCGCACAAATTTTCAGATAACAAAACTAAGAAGATTGAAACTCTGTTGTCTTATATTGACGAACGTCTAAAAACCTTGGAAGAAGAAAAAGAGGATCTCAAAGAATACCAGAAGTGGGACAAAATGAAGCGCTCCAT